TAATTTTTCACAATTTGTACTATATAATAGGTTTAAATTTTGGAATTACTATGACTCATTTACAAAAACTTTTTGAGCATATAATTAAAATCAATTAAGTTGAAGGATTAGATATAATATGAAAGTTAAAACTTTTTAAAAAATTACTATTAATTCAAAATTTTATTATAAACCTGTTTTATATATTTTAATAAAAAATTTTTGTAAAATTTTAATTTAAGCTATGATCTTTCTTATTCGTAATTCTAACTCTAAATATAATGCTTAATATTTTAAAATCTTTTTCTTAATTATTGTTTGATTTTACATTATACTTGATCCTTTAATCTAATTAACAAAAATCATATATCATAAAATTTTTTGTAAATAAGTCACTAATATCAAAATTTAAAAACTTTCTCAATATTGTTATCTAAATATTGCAGTCATATGAAACTAAAAATTCTTTAAAGTTCATTTATGTTAGAGTTAAAATTTATACTAATATTAAAATTAAAGAATATTTATAATAAATTGAATAGAAAAAACTTTTTATTAAAATATTATAAGTAATTTCTTATATCACATTTTGAGAAATAAATAATTTTTAATAAAGCAAATTTTGGTTTAAATTTTTCTAATTGTATAATGCTTCATCTTGAACTTGAAATCTGATTTGTTTATACTACAAAAATTTTATATAATTGCAACTTTTTCAGATGATACTAGAGAAATTTAATACAAACTAATAAGATTACAAGCAAAACAAACATTCATTTTACTAAAACTCACCTATGATTTGAAAATTTAAATAAGAAACCATCTTTAATGCATTAACAAAAAAATTTTCTTAAATAATTTTACTAATATATTTTATTATTATCTAATCATAATATAATGCTAACCCTAATATCAATGAATTAGGAAATTTTATTATTGTCATATAGCTGTGTTTTTGGTAATGATACTGAGAAAGATAAAAATTAAGACTTTCAGTAGGACTTTAACTTTCCTGTCTAAAAGTACTTTTGGTTTCTTTCAATTTCAGTAAGTACTAACAGTGCCTACATTTGAAACCATCCTTAGTTATGAGAACTTCAAAGTTTTGCATCATCACTATTTCTCTTGGCTATTTTGCCTAGTTTCAAACATTTCACATAATTCCAAATATTTCATTCAGTTTTGAACATTTTACCAGCTTTGGATGTTTTGCCCAGTTTCAGATTTTGGGTAAAACTGAAACTCAAAATCTGAAACATTTTGAATTTTGGTAAAAGGTTTAGGTGGTAACACTAGTCACAACATTTAATTATTCTAAATGTTAATATTTTTATGTCACACTTTTACAGCTTTGATATTTCAACTAATCAAATATAAAATAGTTATATTAACAAACATTTTTTTAAAGTTAATATTATTTTAAAAATAAAGATTCATTAAGGTCTTTGGGTACTTTTTACTGATCCTGCTAAGGTTCAGCACATGATTAATTGGTGTTGACTAGTGATGGGGATTCATCACGTGATGTTCTGGATAATTCGGGCCAATGCATAATTCTGGCGAAATTAAAAGTAATCCCGGTAACGATCCGCGAATCCCACGTGGGATTTTTAAAAAACTGCAATTTGCCCATCACTGGTGTTGATATTATTTTATTTTCTTGGTTTAAAAGTTTTTTTCCTATCACATTTGATATCAAAAGATTCCAAATTAAAATCATATTTTAAGATTCATGTAAATAAGCTCAAAATTGGTGATTAGTAATTAAGGTTGAAAAATTTGTCTTATTCAGTATTATTTTTTTAAAAAAAAAAGTATATATAGGTATAGATCGGGAAATCATGTGACTGCACCCTTGTTTATTGGTTACGCTGATGCTCTTCATATGAATTGATCCTTAAATTCTGATAAATTCAGATATTCAGAAATTATTATTCGGATTGGTTAAAGAACTTAAATAAAGAACTTAAGTGTGCTCAAAGCTAGCTTTATACCAGGAATGGAGTATGAAATACGAAGAATATGGTTTACGAAAGAGTTAAATGGTGTGTCCTTCTGTATCTGATTGGTTGATCGTGATTAGGGATTTCTATATTTGTATGCTGGCTTTGCTCCTTAAAACGTGTACTGAGTTTGGGTTCACATTATCTTCTGGCTAATTAGATCGGAACTGTAGTACGTATATTATAACGCTAAAGAGATCACGTATTCATTATATCATTGATTTATGCGAATATTAAAATGTTCTTTGAATAATAATATTTCTAAGTTTTTCTTTTTTACAAACTTCAATACAAGCCTATATTTTATTCTTTTAAACTGGTCACTATTTTACGAGGTAAAACTACGATAAATCTAAAAACCTAAACAAACTATTTAATATACGAATCTATCTACTGTATTCTGATATATACTTCCACTAATCTATAAGTATTGAGAACTATTAAAGCTTAATGTCACTTCATAAAACGTGATACTTTGTGACTATTAATATTAAAGGATGTGGATGCTTTAAATTGAAATTGTGATTATTCGAACCCAACCTAGTACACATTTCTAAATGCTAGGGCTTTGTACATTGATGTATGCATGGATTTAAAATACTACTTGAATAGTGCAATAAAAAAAAAAACAGCAGTTGGAGATTACGAGTATTCTATAGTATTCTATAATTGGGCATTATCATAGTTTTTTTGTCATATCCGATTTATAACTTGCCCATACCTGTTTTATCATGTTTTGACTTGAATTATCTATTCGTATATTATCGCATAAACTTTTCTATTTTAAATTTACTAGAACCGGTATAAACTTTCCATTTCTGTTAAGAAACCTTGATTTGAATTTTCCCCGAAAAACTGAGGCTTATTGTTGTAACAGTTTAACCTAATAATATCATACCAGTAAAATTTTTATGTTCATATGGTATAGGGCTTATCTACAAATAGTCTAAATCTGATATGCTATCGATTACTCAATTTGTACAGTACATACCGTGGTATGTTATTTTTTTCCATATTAACGAAAACAGATTTATATAGTAATCTCGTACTCTTCATAATATATAGTAGGATTAATACCAGGAATGGAGTATGAAATACGAAGAGTATGGTTTACGAGCAAGTTAAATGGGATGTCTCTTTTTCATCCGATTGGTTATCTAATCTCGTGACTTCATCTATATTTATACTCTATGAGGCTTTTTGTCTATTGACGAATGATAACATTAGATGTTTGCGATCAAGGGATTATTCTAGATTATTATAATGTTATTTATTATCGTGGCTTTAAACCCATAATACTGTAATACATACATGAAATTATTCTTGTTTTTACCTGATTTTGTTTGTGATTTTTGAAACATTTAAATCATAAATTTTCTGCTTCACTAAATCGGCCCTTATGTCAAGAAAATCATGTGCTGAAGATCATTTTCGACTCTATCCAGATCCGATAAAATCACAGGATCTCGTGTAACAGAACAAACGCGAAAAACATAAGAACTTGTAAAAAAACGTAAATAACACAAAAATTTACTATGATGACTAACTTCCGACCTCTAAGTAAAAGTTTTCAGAATGAAATTGTAATTAGATATATAGAGAATTTTTGATATACTACGACCCATATCTTTTTGGCTGGCAGCTTGGGAATTTCTTAACATAAGGAAATTCCACTAAATCGGGCTTGTGATATACTGGTTTATAAAATTTCGCCTAACTAAATTCAATAATTCAAAGGTATCTATTTTCAAAATGTAAATTTAAGAGCTTGATTCTCTGTTTTTTATACTGCCACCATTGTAAGGGAGATCTTCCATCAATCATGCTGAGTTTAACTCCAATGGTCATAGGCAGACATTCGTCTGATTGGCTGATGTAAACCAATTGTCCGGGTAATTTATTTATACAGCGTAAAGTACTTGTTGAGAACGTAATGTTTCATTAACAAAAAAACACTGTAAAAGCCATTTCTAACTTCGAAAGAATGTCTATATTCATTATGCAAAATAATCAAAAATAATCAGTAACCTCAAGAACTTTCAATTAGAAGCAAATATTTATTGTAATACTAGTTATATTAACTATTATATGTAAGCTCTAAATTCTGGAATTGCCAACAAAAAAAAGAAGTTTAAGACGTTATGCATAAGATCTAAATCAATGAACTTTGTCAATACCGTTTAGCATGTTATTATAACAACAAGCATATACTAATGTTCTTATTTTATGTATTCTTAATATTATAGAGTTGTCGCCAATATATGAGTATTATTGTTTCATTAATTACATAGGTTAAGAGTCGTGTTGTATCTCTAATAACGAACATGATAATAAAGATTAATTTTTTCAGAACATAATTAATATATAAAAATACTTTTGCTAATAATTTAGGGAATTGCTATTCGCACCATGGATTTTTGCTATTCGCACCATGGTAACTAACATTATGAAAAACTACTTACCCTAACTCTAACTAATTCTGGTCGTGATCTAGATACCATGGTGCGAATAGCAAAAATCTATGGTGCGAATAGCAGTTCCCATAATTTATTCACTTATTAACTCTTTAATGTGTTTGGGTTTTTATAATAAATATTACATTTATCCCACTTTACGCATATTTATCTGTTTTTCTAACTTTATGTGATAAATTCTTTGTATGTAATTATTGGTTTGTAATCTTCTTTTAGCTGTGTAATTTGATTGGCTAATTATTATAAATGCTAATAAAATTAATAAAATTGATAAAATTAAATATAGCGATAGGAGCAAACAAAGAACTTATGACGAAAAAAGTTTCATCTGCAACTCTATCTGAAATCCATCTTCCATTCCTGGTTTTGCGCAACGTAGTTGCGCAGCTACTTATTTTATAATGGTTTAGTTTTTTACAAATGAAAAATCCTAAAAACATTACTGCAATAATAATGGAAGCTACACTAATATGTACAAAAATCAATTAAAAGAGATTAAATAAATCGATTATAATCGATGCTTCTATTAAATCAATTATATAATTTATAAAAAATCCCCATCGATTTTAATTGATGGTGGTGATGAATCCTTAAATTTTAATCGGATTGTGAAATTTTTCGATTAATACCAATCTTTCATCCTAATAAAATTGAATCGTTATAATTATACAAGTTTTTTAAATTAGACAATATATATATGATGCATTGAAAGTATTAACCCATGTACAGTATATCAAAAACAGATAATTCATTATTTATACAGTATAAATCTATATAGTTTTATAAAAAAATGTTCTTCGTGATGCAATTTGCTCTATTTCAAATGATTTGGTCATATCTGCAACAAATTCATCCCTTTTGCCCATCTTACTATATGTTTTTGCACGATATTTTAATGTTTTTGCATCATTTGGATTTATTTCGAAAGAATTTTCTAAATCTTTAAGTGATTTTTCGTATATTCCCAGTTTTTGATAGGTTTTTCCGCGGTATTTTTTTGTCTCAGCATCATGTGGATTAATTTCTAATGATCTGTTTAAATCTGCAAGTGATTTTTCGCATTGATTCATCTTACAATAAGTTACACCACGATATTTTAATGCTTCTTCATCATCAGGTTCAATTTCCAATGTTTTATCTAAATCACCAAGTGATTTTTCATATCTTCCCATTTTTATATATGTTAAACCACGATATTTTAATCCCCATGCATTATTTGGATCAATTTCCAATGATTTGTTCAAATCCACAAGCGATTCTTCATACTTGCGTATTTCTCGATAAGTTGCACCGCGAAATATTAATGCATATGCATTATTTGGATCAATATTTAGTGATTCATTTAAATCTTTTAAAGATTTTTCATATTGGCCAATGTTTCTATAAATTTCTCCACGGATAATTAAAGAACATACGAAATTAGGATGAGGTTTTATTGTTAATGCTTTGGTTACGTCTTTGAGTGAATTCTCGAATTTCTTCATCTTAAGATATATTAATCCGCGGTAGGTTAATGTTCGTGCATTATTTGGCTCAATTTCCAATGATTTTGTTAAATCTTCAAGGGATTTATTATATTCTTTTATAAAAAAGTATGTATAACCCCGAAATCCCAAAGCAGTTGCATTGTTTGGATCAATATATAATGATTGATCTAAATCTGAAAGCGATTCTTCATATCTTTTCAATCCTCGATAAGCTTCACCACGAAGACATAATGTAAATGCATCATTTTGTTCAATGTTTAATGACTTATTTAAGTCTTCAAGTGCCTTATCAAAATGGTGCATATTGAGATAAGTTTCACCACGGGTTTTTAATGCAGATGAATTATTTTGTTCTTTTTCTAATAATTTAGTTGAATCCCAAAGGGCATGTTCATATTCATTCATTTGATCCATTTGGAAGTCAACTGGTGAGGATCTGTCATGGAAAACGGGTGTCATTTGTATAGAATCTAACTTATCCAAAATTGTGAAGATTTCAGGTCGTAATTTTGGATCTTTATTCCAAGCTTTACAATAAAGATCTACAAAATCATATGGTGTTCTATTAATATGAGATTCTCGGTTGTCATCAGTTATATGACGAAGTATTTGAAATTTATCCATATTCTTGAAAGGAGGCCTTCCACTTGACAATTGCCAGAAGAGCATGCCTAGACTATATATATCGGAAGACTTATCTCGGCTATGCCTTGAATTTTGGAGGAATTCTGGGGCAGAGTATGCAAAATGTCCACCATCAATAGATAATGAATTACTTCCTAAAGATTTAGATAAACCGAAATCAGCAATTAACATTCTGCCATTATGTACTAATATGTTCTTATCATGCTATTTTATTAGATTAAGTTAGTATCAATTTATGCGCAATAAAAAATGGCAAAAGTAAAATAAATAAATAAATATTATATATAAAACTCTTACAAGGTCGCGATGAGCAACATTTGCATTATGCAAGCAACAAATTCCTCTAGAAATTTCTTTTGCCATTCTAATTTTATCTTGCCATTTTAATTCAGAAAAATGGTTGTATAAAAAACTCCGAAGGTCTTCGTCATTTGCAAATTGTAGAACCATACAATATTCTTGAGTGCTAGGATCTAATTCACATTAAATTTTATATGATTAAGCATTGATGAAATTTATTGATCTATTGCACAAAAATTAATTAGCTGTCTAACGGCAGGAATAATGAAATATTTCCCGGAGAAATATCATATTTCATTATTTATCCACTGTAATAAATTTTATATTTTATTTTACAAGTTTTATCATTGATTTTATAAAGCATATAATGTTGAGCATAAATTAGTGATTACGCATTATTATGTTAGTAAGAAAGGATATTTCAATTTTTATAGAATATTGATAGATTTTTTAGTGTAATCAATATGTCGGGTCGAGTCAATAGAAATCAAGCAAATTTTTCTAATTTTTTTAAAGCTTTGAATAACAATAACTTATCAACAACTTAATTAAATTTAATAAAAAAATTTTTACAAATTTATAGAATTTATTTAAAAAATTTATTATTAAATTTAATCAAACTTTTGGTAAGTTATTAACATTTAAAGGTTTAAAAAAAATTTAGTAAAAATAATTTGCTTGATTTCTATTGACTCACCCATATACAGATTATGCTTTATATAATTAGTGATAACAATACAAATTTTGGTTATAGAAAAAAAGATATATCTACCTTTAGTGACTCCATAGAGTTTTATTATATTTTCATGATTAAATTTATTAATATTTTTAACCTTAAAATAAATATAGATCGTAATGTTTAGAATATTAATAGTGACAATAGTTACTACGAATCAGTTGTACTGTACATATTATAAATATGACCCTTACTTCTTTTATAAAAGACTCATTGTTATTGCGAACTTTTTTTAAAGCTACAATTTCTTTTCTATCTTTTGAATAAACTTGAAAGACAACTCCAAATCCTCCTTCACCTAGTAATTTTTCCTTTACAAAAGAATTATACTCAAATAATTTAATTTCTTCTTTTTCGATAGTTTCTTTTATTTTTTCTGACAAGGCCATTTTTGATTTCCAATTCTACAATTTATAATTTTTTAAGCAACTTAAATAATGCTAGACAGGAAGGATTGTTATATATATATATTTTGTCTATACGTAATATCATACTACATTATAAGATTCGAGGGATTTATCTTTACCCGGTCACTTAAGGTATCAAGAAGTTAATTATGTCATTAAATTTTGGTTTTTCCCGTGGCCGAATTGCCACGGGACGCCCGCCATTGGCGTCCAGATGTCATTATTTTTAACGTACAGTTTAACTATACTAGGTAAATAAGTCATTAAATTCCGGAGGATCAACTGTAATTTGCTGACAAATAATTCTACTCTGTCACTACATGCGACAATAACATCGCATTAATAATGAAAAATTTAGCAATCGTAAAGTTATGAGCTTTTGGATTTAATTTAATTACTAATCGATTTTCAAATTAAAAGTTACATGATAAATATAAGATCATACACGACCTCCTTTTATAGACAATGAAAAATTCTATCAATATGCGTGAAAACCAATGATTCTATATTTAGATTTTTGGAAAAATGAAACAAAATGCAACAGAAATTTATGATTAATTAATGTTAAAGGAGATGAAACACTATCAAAAGTTGCTATTTGGGATACTACGTAATGTTATGAGTATTCGGGCCAAATTTTTTAAATTGAAATATCGATGTTCAATCAATTTTAATAATTAAGACAAAAATAGATTCTTGAAAACTTTGAGCGAGAATTGTAGTAAGTTGTTATATAATATTATATAGCAAAACTTGTGTTAAGATGATCTACTCAAGAATATGGCCCAATAAACTATCATAGTTTGATCAAAACTCCCCGAATACTCATAACGTTATTCAGTGACCCATTAGTTATTATTAGATGTGATTGTACCACAACGTAAAGTATATCTGGAACGGAGTTTGTACAACGTACAACGTAGAGTATACCAGGAACGGAGTTTGTACAAAGTACAACGTAGAGTATACCAGGAACGGGGTTTGTACAAAGTACAACGTAGAGGCACGTCCGTAATCTGTGACAGGTTAAGCCACAGTGTCAAATTACTGGTATGACTGTATACTTAGAGTCGAGTCCACAATATAAAATAATGTGCATAAAGCAGTATACGTATCAAATTTATTTAATTCAATTTAATTAATTAGCATCAATAAATAACAATCACATCAATACATAATTGTATAAATGAAAAAATTGGGTTAAGTTCCTATGCCTAAAAAAATACTTAATAACAATAGTTTTTATGCTTCAATTGAGCTGATTATTCAGTATATTCGTGTTCAAATTATGCTCTTTTTTACTCATTTTTTTTCTTTCAGACAGGAATAGCTTGAGGATCTAAATTTTCTTTGGCTTTATTTTTGGAAGCAGGTAATCTTCATTTAGTACAACTTTCTTCTGTTTTCTGTCTTCTGATAGATTCTACTTGAACCCATATACATAAACCTCTTTTAACATAAACCATTAGATCTAAATCATGATTAATGTTATAAAGAAAGGAAGACAATCGAGAGGTAGATTTTGTTTTTGTTACAATATAATAATCCTTAAATTTATTTAATGCAGTTTGCAAAGTTTGATTCATTAGTTTGATAATCAGAATTAATAATTTTTAAAAATGAAACAAACTCTGAATTATTAAATTTCTCAGTTTTCTTATTCCTTACATTTTCACTTAATTTTTCAAATTCTCTAAAAAATAAATATAATAAAAAAAATTTCTAAATTTTTGTTTTAATAATCTTTTGATTTACTCTATAATCAAAGAATTATTTGACATTTTTATTGTTGTATGTAAAGTTTTACAATTTTATAATACAAGTTACAAATGTAATAATACATAAAAAGACTTATTTTCAGAGACATAATCTAAAAAAAAAATATGAATCAAGATTATGAAACTTAGATGATACTAATTAAAAATAAAATACTTGTCAAGTACTATATATTCATAAATTATATAATAATCTGGTATTAAAAATAGAAAGAAATTAGTTATCAAAAGATGAAATTTTACAAAAACTGTCTCTTAGTACATACAAGAGACATCAGACATTTCAACAGAACATGAACAAGTATCAACATTATTATTAACTATATAAAAAAATCTATTTATCTTTGTACTAGATACAAGAAATTTATTTTTTATATTTGTTTCTTGAATAACATCTGCATTTACCATCTTCTAGCCAAGATATAAAAATCATCATACAATATGTAAAATTCCTGAGTACTTGTGGGTAATTCCAAACAATTGTCTTTTATAAAATCTCTTTATGCTATTAGTTATAAACTAAAAGATCTGTATTGGGTTGTAAACTTGGGTCTATACAATACAATATCTTTTATTATGCCAAAGCTATACCCAATATAATTATAAGTCTTATTACTATGCAAAGGTAAACCTAAGTGGAATGACAAAGCCTAAGATCATTATTATTCTCATAAAAGTTCAAAGTAATATTGTAATTACAGATATTTATAAAAGAATTTTTGCTTAAATTCATTATAATGAGTATCCATTTTTGAAATTAGTAATATATATAAGATTGTTTTGACTTTTTGTATAATAAATACTCAGTTATTTTTATTAATTTTATGATTTGTATTATGGAGTCACCTCTAGAATGCTTGTAGAATATAGAATGTGTACAGAAGTCAAATTTCTGTATAATATTAATTTTAATTAATAATTTAATATCAATATATAATATTAATAATATATTAAACAAAATAAATAAAATTATATAAAGTTATTCTTTGGTTAACAAAGCTTTAATGCATTATATTTTGTATTGGAATTATCAGTCAGAAATATCATTGGTCCAATTTATAGACCATGTTTATAAAAAACATTCATCAGAAAGATAGTCTTAAGCAAATTCAACTAAATAAAATATAAATTAAATAAAATAATAAATTAAAAAATTAAATTAAAAAAATAAATTAAAAAATAAGTTAAAAAATAAATTAAAAAAATAAATTAATTTATTAATACAGTGATTATATAGAAGTGTGATTATATAATGTTTACCCTATATAATCACACTAGTAGTTGAAATTTATATAATGTAAATATATAGAAGTAAATATATAAGTGCTAAAAAATCTATCTTTTCAAGCTTAGTATTAATTTTAATTGTATTACAGTATAACAACAACAATAATATATAATTAAAGCATGCTATCTAGACAAAGTTATATGTAGTAGTAAAATCATTAAATTTATCTCAAATAATAAATAGATTGAAATATATAGAAAGAATAATAGATTGCATATGTACTATAGTATACAATTAAATTTTTCAAGATTAAACAAGTCTTTTGTAACTTTCAAATGCTGGTATATATGTTGTAACAGTCTAATTTACTAGTGTAGCACAGTCCAAGATTGGGCTGTGCTCAATTTCTATTTTTTGTTTTTATTATCTTGTTAGAATTGACATTCACAAATCAAAAGATTCTTGAGATTCTTGAGAATCAAGAGATTCTTGAGAATCAAGAGATTCTCAAACATCAAAAGATTAAAAAGATTCTTGTAAGTCAGTTTTTATTATATAAAATGAAAGTATAAAAGAGCAACTTTTTACCTCAATAAAAGAATCAACTTAGAGTTCTAAAACTCCAACAAGTAATAGTAGAAGAGTACTTCTCTATTAAGTTTTTTTATCTTAAATTTGTTCATCATTATTATTGATTCTTGTCTGTTGTAAATCTAAAATAGAGAAAAATAAGATCAATTAATAATCAGACCTCTTATATACTAAAAAAACAATTAAACTGTTGATTTCATCATTGATAAAGTACCATTGTTTCTCTGTGATTTCATTTCAACTTCCAATCACATGACAATTGTAAAGTGCCTTCACAATTGAGAAAGAAAAGTATAAACCCGGTGTAGTTAAAATAAGATATAGAGATAGTATAAATAGTATAGTATTAGTGCTATTAAGATGTAGAAGTAAAGAACTATACAATACTTGGAGAAAGCCTATATTTATCTGTTTCAAGATTCTATAGCAAAACTTCCAAATCTTAATTCTCAGACCAATTCAATTTATGTCTCTCTCTTAGCCTGCCATTTTAGAGTGTAAGTCTTGTAGATTGCTGTAGTTTAGTGTTTGATATTAGTAGTATTAGTTAGCTTTAGTCACTCCAGCAACATTAGCTTTAGTCTCATCCTCAATATGATACCATAAAGCAATCATATATTTTTCTAATAATGAAATAAATAATTAAATAATAATAATTTGTAACCACAATATCAATTATAAATGATTCCAAAACTATGACCCAAGATTACACTAGCCAAACACCAAATAAATGTAATCTTAAGTCTATTATATTATTGCAATTGCTGTTTATATATCATCAATAAAGTTTAGAACCAGTTTTATTTTTCATATGATAAAATCAGGTTTAATCAGTTTTAATATATAAAAAATAAACTGATTCCAACCTTTAGTTATCACATTATTTTATTGTAGTAATAAGTTAGAATTAATAATTAAATTAGTTTATTCTCATAGTATAATCTTGTGTAAAAAATTTTTTTAAAATTTATCAGATCTTATAATACACAATGACGCCCTATTTGTATATATGATATTAATATGTTTATATAATACTTATTAGATACATGACTGTAAGGTGAGATAAATAGCAATTATTTGATAAATTTTACAGTATTCAAATTTTTGTATATAAATCTGGAAGTAAGAAGTTTTTTTTGAAAAAAAAACACTTATCCTAAAAGAGCTTATTACTTCTGAATTTATATACAATACTAAACTACTAAAAAAGTCTTATTGTCATGTGACAACTAAACCCCTATAAACTATGTTCGTGAAATGTTTGATTTCAAAGACTTGCAATCTAATTGTAAATTTGTTCACAATGTCACATGTGCACATAGTGCCCATGATAATCAGGTAATAAACATTAATCAAATAGATCAATGATCTCATGCATAAATAGTTTA